CCCCAAAACCCCAAAACCCCAAAACCCCAAAACCCCTAAGTGCCTGTTTAAATTTGAAATTTAAAAATGGAAGACGGTAAGCTTTGAAGCTGTTGATCACCAGATTTAAAAATTAGCTGGAGATCCTGAGCTGCCTGAGATTTTACCATTCTAATATATTTTTATAGGAAATAATCTTAAGAATAACAAATACCAACAATGAGATGAGAGCTTCGAGACTCAGAAACACGGTAATAGTCGCTTCTCATATTTTAAAGGGTGTCAGAATATAAATAAAATGGTGCCTGAGATTGACTTCGATAATGCCACAACCAGAGAGATTAGAAATTACTTAGAAAAGGAAAGGAAAGATTTAAAATTGGATGAGCTCGATCAAAGCAGTAATACAGAGGAGGATCATCACAATATTAGCAAAATTTCTTCAAAATTAAAAAGAGACATAATCAAGAAGCATTCTCTTCAAGCTTCTAAAAGGAACAAGTCAACAAATTCAAAGAATAATAGCCAACTTAGAAAGCCTGATGTTTGTGTTAGAACCCAAAGGACTGACGAACCTGAAATTGATATGGCCACCAGTCTGACAATGAGGAACAATAATAATGAATATCGGAAGAAGAAATTGGCACCTCTTCCTTCCAAAAACACTTTTGATGAATATGGACAACTTACTAGTAACTTTCCTTACTCCACTCGAGATCTGAATTATGAAGAACCTGATTTAGGACCAAAAAGTTTTATCTTTAATATTCGAGACACTAAGAATAGCCAAAGGTAAGAATATTAATTACTCTAGAAGGATTACTAACAATTGCCTTCAAAGTTACAGAACAGAAAGAGCAAAGACCTGTAACTCTAGGAGTAACATAAACATGTGTAAATAAGAAGAAAGATATTGAGATTATCCAGCCTGCAAGACTCATTGAGAAAGAGAAGGCTAAATTCTCAATAGCTAAGAAGGATAATTTGCTAATCAGTGAGATGAGGAATCAGATTTCCTCCATGAGAAATGAGTTCATGACTGCGATAAAAGATATCAAAAATAGTGTTGAGAATTACTCAACTATTCATGAAAAGAGTTCAAGGTTTGAACCCTCAGCAACTGGGCAAAGTTATCAGATCTCCAAGCCAATATTTGAGAATTTTACACTTGATGATGAATGTAACAAACCTGTGGTTGAGAAATCGTCAAATGAAAGTTTTATGAAGAAAAGTTCTGTAGAAGCACGATCTTCCTCAGTTCAGAATAACCATAAGACTCTGTTTTATAAACATGCTTTTAATAAAGAAAATTCTGATCCGAACCAAGACACGGTTCCATCTGTGGAATCTCAAGAAATTCCATGATCAAGATGAGTGACTATAGTAGGCAATATATTCCTACAAACTTTCCAAGGAATTATAGAGAGCCTTGCTTGTAATTCCACGCAAGCTCATGGCGTAGATTTCTCAGTACTAGAAGCCCAAGCAGATCAAATAAAAGAGAGTATTCATAGATTAAAGCAAGTTTCAACGAAGGTGGAGGCTCGCAAGACATTATCTCCATACTCTGGCTTATCTAAGAAGAGTAATATATTTTACTAACCTTATTTAGAGCTCATGGGTACTAACCCGGTGACACTTCCTGCACTAGAGAAAGGAGAAAGACAGGAAATATATTGCCATAATAATATTGATACTAAGATTCCTCATATGAGCCTCCAGAAGATGTACAGCAAGTGAACGGATAGCAAAAATTTTGATAACAAAGGGAATCAGTCTCTCAGGAATATCAAGAAGAAACCAAAGAAATCTAAAAAAGATAGAAAAGGAAGTAAGAAGCAAAAGATTAGTCGAAACTTAGTTGAGCAAAACCAATGGGCTTCAAGAGTTTTTAAACAGAGATAATATCTTCAATATTTGCATATATTTTTGGGGTTTTGGGGTTTTGGGGTTTTGGGG